CACCCCCACAGTGGGGAGGGTGATGTTGAGCTGTCCATAGTTTCCTGACTGAGCCAAGGGTCCAAACTCAGTTCAAGGTGAGGGGCTGGAGTCAGGACTCAACAAGGCATAAATCGGGCTCACTTACTTGGTGTCTATGACAGAAGCTCATTTGAAGATGAAGATAAAGGGTCAGTCAGGGGCCCAAAACAGGACTCAATCTAAACCACTGTCAGGTCATGGTCTGGGGACCAGCAGAGGACCAGAGTCAGAGTCCCACGGGAGATAGCAGTGGGCAGATCGTTTCACACTTGGCAACCTCCTCCACAGCTGATGCCAGTGTTGGCCCCAGGGGAAGCCAGCTGACTGCCAGCATGAGGCTGGGTGCCGTATTTCAAGTTTTTGCTGGGTCCAGGGCCACAGCAAGTAAGATTTCCAGAGGCAGAATCTGCCCCTCCCAGGTGGAGCAAGATGGAGGAAAACCCCCTCTCCAACTTGTAGTTGGAGGCTCCTATTCTGTGCACAGCCTGGACCCCAAAGAATTTTTAAGGGTAGAAAGGAGAATGATAGTGGAACTGGCTCGTGAAAGGAGAAACTCCAGGAAAAGGGAATTCGGATCTGGATGGAGCCAGACATGGGTGGAGCTGGAGGGATTGAGGAATCTCAAGAGCTTGTCAGATCACTGTCTTTGGAATGTCACTCTACTCTCTGGGCATCTTCATTTTCTCATCTGACATAGTCACCATGACTACAGTCCCTCAAAGCCCCAGGTTTCATGGAGATCGGGAGAACAGACTGGGCAGCACACTGTACACTACAGTGAGGCAGTGAGCAGAGGCAAGGGAGTTCCTGCCCTAAGGGGCCAACAGTTCTGGCCTCAGCCTCTCCTGGGATGGTGGCAGTGCACAGCAGGAAAGATGGTCACTCCCTGCATTCAGCCCTACAGTCCAGGCAGTGATGAAGAGAGCAGCCAGGGCTCGGTCCCCAGGGCTCTGAGTCCTTCCCATCCTCTGCTGGGCAGAAGGCTATCTCTATCCCCTCCGTGAGGGTGGATAGGCTCTCAGGCTTCCAAATTAGCCCAGGAGAAGCCAGTGCTCAAGCAGAAGGAAGCAGGAAGGGTGGTGAGAACAGGAAAAGACGGTTGGCAAGGAGGTCAAAGGGAGGCCTTGAAGAGGACCCAGAGGGCCAGGACTCCTGCCCACAAAGGTCTCCCTGCCACTCTGGAGAGAGAACAGGAGTAGGGAGACTGAAGGTGGAAGGCCAGTGTGCCAGAGGATATAGTACCCAGAGTGGCCTTAAGTAGAGAAAAGAAGGTGGCAGAGAGGAGAGGAAGGATGGAGAGCTCTACGGGAGCCCACACGATGCCACAGGGTCTGATGGTCCTGGAGAGTGATGGAGACGGGAGTGTAGAAGGAGCCCGGGTTTCCAGCTCAGACTTGTAGAGGATGACACCACCCACTTCCCCTAGAAGAGCAACAGGAGTGCACATCCATGGGAAGGTGGTAAGCTCCCTGAGGGCCCCAGCAAGCACCACTTGGGCAGACCAGGCATAAGAAGGAAGCACCTTGTAAATGCCTCCTCTACTGATAGGAGTGGACACCAGCAGCAGCATGAACAATGCAGGCACAGAAGAGATGCCAACAAAGGGCGCCAAGAGACACGGAGGCTACAACAGAAAATCAGAAGCCCCCAAAATTTCAGAATCAGAAGGGAGTCCACATATGTAGATGGGGTGAAGGCTGGGCTTGGGCAGGAACAAGGAGATTTCACAGCAAAGTGGAGGAAGTGCCCCAGTCCCCTCCCCTAATCCAAGGCCTCCTTCTCCTGGGCCCCCCTCTTGGTCTCCACACACAATGGCTCCCTAGGCTTCCTCCAATCTGGTTCCAAATCACAAGTACACACCAGTGGTGGCAGGCTGCCAGGCCGTTTGTCCAATGGTAGGACAAGACTGGGCTGTCCAGCACACAAAGGAGGAAGCATCCCAGAACCCATGGCCCAGAGGCCACTGCAGATAAGGCCTGGAAACCTCTAGACCCTGCTCCTCGCTGCATCCTAGGAGGCCCAATGCTCTTGCACAGCTCAGAAAGAATCTCCAGGGACTCAGATGCACAGGGAAATGCTACAGTGACAATGGGAACTGAAAAGGCCACAGGACCAGAAAAGCTCCAAGAAGACTGAGCTCCATGAGATGACAAGATACAACCCTCACCTCTGTACCAGATGTTCCCCAGATGCTGAACCTCCTGCAAACGGCAGTAAGTGAGAACCATAAAACGCTCCCTGGGCACCGGATACAGACCCTGACATACCATATGGACTATCTCTGATTCTCTCAGCAGCTCTGGGAAATAGACATGTTACTTTCCCACAATGAGTATACAGACCCTCAGAGACTGTAAGCAACATGCCCAAAGCATCACAGCAACTCAACAGAGTGAGCTTCAAACCTCAGCCTTATTTTAAATCCCAGGCACCACAGCACTAGTCCCAGGGTTTTCTGACTCCCAACCCAGGGTAATTTGTACTTCCTCATTCATTGAGTTTTCAAAAATCCAGTGGAAATACTAAATAAGGTAATCTGTAGAGAAGTGCCCTGTCGGTGGGAAAACACATAATAAATGTAAGGTATTGCTATTATTCTTTAATTCAGGGCACAAACTTTTATTTTGATAATTTTGGATTAAACATAAACAAACAAATTATCATCAATTATCACCATCATCTCATAAAAGAAAGATGATTTTAATGCCAAAAATTACAGGGAGGACTTAATTGTGAAGCTATGTGTGTGGAAAGCAGTCCTCTCTGTTGAAGACACTTGCCCTCCTACAAAAAAAAAACATTTTAGAGCTGTTTTTCCCACTGCCAAAAATGTTGGATTTATACTCAGGAACCACTGGCCCAGACAACCTGCAAAGTGTCATTTCAGCTCCAGAATTCTTCTGCACATTGACTGTTATTCTTTACTAAATAAAAACATCCTTAAGGAACAGAATTCGATGACAGCTTTCAACAATATAATTTTGACTAAAATCTATAACTGTGAGAAAAAATGACTTAGCCTCTATTGAAACACAATTTTTTTCAGCCAGGTCCAAAAGATGCTGACTGCCCTGTCGATTCATTTGTGTCTGTGGGAAATAGGCTGTGGTTTGGCCTGGTGGAGACAAACCCCACATCAGGTGGCCACATTCACTTCCACGCTGCTCTGTGGCTTCCTCTTCCTACAGGCTGAGCAGGGATGACCTAGATGATTTCCTCTCCCACAGCCTTGAAGAATGTGGTCACATCCCTGTACTAATCGTGCTTTTTACTTTGGGATGGTTTGACATATGGGGGACCTTCCTGGCTAGGGAGAGGCTGCCCCTTCTACACAAGCTGGTTCTTACAGGAAATATTGTAACCATAAATCCACCTTTCCTATACAACCAGCCAAATTCAGTTCATACTCCAGGCACCTCCTTTGACTAACACCACCGAGGTAGCACACATGCGCTACATCAACCAGGCCCAGGAACTAAGCAACTAGGGCCTCCCAGGATCAGAGCCATCCTAAGCTGCCCACACTGTCTTGCCTTCGCTACAGAGACCTCCATAAAGGCTAAGTTCCTGCAGCTTCCCCCTGTGGCCCTGCCTGGCATGGTGTGGCATAACCTCTTCTCTTTTGAAGTGATACTCAGAGCCATCCTAAGCTGCCCACACTGTCTTGCCTTCGCTACAGAGACCTCCATAAAGGCTGAGTTCCTGACCACAATGCAGCTTCCCCCTGTGGCCCTGCCTGGCATGGTGTGGCATAACCTCTTCTCTTTTGAAGTGATGTAAAACACTCCTTTCAATGGAATTAATCTGTGCGTCATCACTTAGCCAGCTCCACAAATGAAAATCCTGCAGGTACATTTTTTAACTGCTGCTCTTTCTCTGCCTTGCCCTTCCTCTTTCCTGGTGTACTTGAGGCTAGAGATTTGGGAATGCCCCTGACAATCACACTCCTGCCCACCAGCCCCTAGTGCAGCAGAGCCTTTGCCTATGAATCGCACCTGAATGTTAGAGACCTGCAAAGCTTTTTTGAAGGCTTGTGCACCTGATCAGGGGTGGACCCTGGGCTGTGAGAGGCCGATGGTACCACCGGCCTGTCTTTCACCACTGTTCAATAGCAAAGGACAGGAGAGCTTGCAGTGGGCCTCAGGTCTGGGGAGCTGGTGGGCAGCATGGGCTGAGACCCCAAACCTGTGGCCACAGATAAGAGCAACAGGAAGAGAAGTTCTCAGCAAACACATGGACCCCTCTCCCCATGCCCAGCCTAATGTGAACCTCAGTATTGCCACCCATAAAGACATGAAGCTCAGTCACTGACCCCCAAAATATCCAGGAAGACCGTCAGCAAATTGACATGTCTTTAGCATGACTCTCCTGGCCCTAAGACTGTGAGCAAGAAAACACAGGCAGAAGGCAACCTGAAGAGGCCAGTGCGACACACAAGAAGGACAAAGAGAACCCCAGAACTCAGCCACAGGATCCTGGCTCTTCAGACATGACTTCTTCATGGAGGGAATTTTATGGGTTAAAACAGCAGATACGACCTTGAATGACCTCATTCACTCTGGGTTTGATCATCACAGCACCACCTATGGCTCCTGGAAGTTGTGTCATCCAAAGGAGATGGCCACGAGGCACGAGAGAGCTGGCTCCCCAGTCCTGTCACCCCTTCTGTTCAGGTGAAAAGGACACCCACCAGATTTTCATGGTGTTATCAGCTTGGCTACCCCCAGCCCACCCTACCAGCCTCATGCCCCTTGTTCTGGAGTAACTCAGAACATGGCAACTCAGGAACATGAGGGGATAGGACAGCAGCCCAAACTCAGACTAAGTGGCCCTGGAGGCCCCCTGCTCCCTCCCATAAATGAGGCAGAGAAGATCATGCCACCCTCTAGGCTCTGAGTGGGCAGAAAGGACCCAGGCCCCAGGGGCTTGCACCAGCCAGGGAGACAGACAAAAAGGCCCCCAGGGTCAGGTTAACTCACGCTGCTTCTCCTGGAGGACGCTCGATGTGCACATTGTGGCCCCTTCTCCTACGAAAACAAAAGAGATGTGAGCAGGTGACCCACTGCCTCTCCTGCCCAGGCACTGAGTTTCCTGAAGAGGCTATGGTGGTCGCATCTGCCCCTGCGCTCCAGACTTAAAGATGGGCAGAGCTTTCTATCACTGCTTCCATCCCTGCTCCACCCATCACAGACTTAGCCCTGGCCTTTAGGTGAGACACAGGCTGGAGCCTGTGGGACACCACTGCTGCAGAGGGCCTGGCCTGGCTCCTCAGTAACGCCCTAGCCTGCTCACCACCATCTCCTCTGACTCCTTGTCTCTCCCCACCCTCATAAGAAGCTGCTGGCCAGTCTGCCATCCGCCACACTCCCTCTCTCCTCTGAGGGTCAATGCTGAATGCAGGGTCCAGGCAACAACTGTCAGGTCTCTCTGTAGCCCAGATCTCTCTCCTACTGCTTGCTGAACTCCTGTGGCTGCTTCTCAGATACTCATACTCACCATAACCAGAGCTCCCTCAGTATGTCTGACTGTCCCCCACCAACACACACAAAGTGTCTGTAGCTTCCCTAGTTCTCTGAAGAAAGGCACAGAGGTAAGCCACCTCTAGGCTTTCCTGAGGCTCACAGCCCTTGTCCTTGGGAAGCTGACATGCTCCCTACTCTGTAGGACTCAGAGGAAGCGCCATCTAGGAAACATCTCCATCTCCACAGCCAACCCTGCAGGCCTCGTGGTTGACTCCTTTCCCAAACATGCCTTCCTCCCACGGGGAGCCATTCCACACACCAACCTACAGAATCCCTCACCCTGTCTTCAGAGCCCGCTTCCTGCCATGGCTGCCTTTGTGGCTCGTGTCACTTGGCTCCTACTCTGTCTCCTGCATCCTCAGAATCAGAGTCCCTGAGCTCCCTCAAAGGCAGGCAGGCATGAATAGGGGCGGAGCAGATGGTTAGAAAGCCAAGATTCCATTCCAGGCCTCCACTGACCTTCTGTGTGGCCTGAAGCATGTCACTCTTCCTCTCTGGGCCTCATTCCTATCGGACAGTGTCAGTCAGTACTCTCTAAGGACCCTCCAAGTACTGAAAGCACTGGGGTGGTGCTGCATGATAGACATCTGGATTCAAATACCATTTCCTTTACTTTCTAACTATACCTGTGGGCAATTCAACCTCATAACCTCTATGACTCAATCTTCTAACGTATGAAATGGGGACCATATCAGGATGTACTTCAGGGGGTTATTGTGCATAGTAAATGACTGATATACATACAGCCTCTAGAACATAGGCAGGAACATCACAAGCATTTAATAAGTGAAGATTGCTTCTATAATTGTTTTATTTATTTACTTTTAACAACCAGTTCAAGACCTTGTCTCTTTCATCTTTATTATGTCACCAGGTGCAGCCAGGTGGAGAGAAGCAATGGTTAACACACATGCCAGCTCATGGTGCTCCCCAACCTGTGCCGGAGAGAGGCTCAGAGAGCAGAGGCCTCACCCAGCATGGCAAGGTGGGCATAGACTGTTTTCAAGGACAGCAGCCCAGGTATAGGCAGAAGCAAAGAAGACCCAGCAACAGACACAAGGGTCAGGGACTAAAGACCAACGTCACATCTGGGTATCACCCAAAGGCCCACAGAATCCAGGTACACCTAGGGCAAGTCACCTGCTGCCACCAGGACCTAACAGAAATTAGGTCACATATTCAAAAAACACCTCTGTCTGCCAAGTGTGATGCCAGGGCCATGAGGGATACAGAGATGAATGGGTCAAGGTGAGGGTAGAGCAAGAACACCTCTGCCCACCGTGGCACTGTGCTAAATGCAAAGGGAAGCATGATGCCAACGAGAGGAGGAAAAACAGATCCTTTGGACCAATGCAGAGCCATGATTGGAGCTTCCACAGGAACAGAAAGGGGCAAGACATCTCAGGAGGCTGGCAGCATCTTGTCCACAGCAGGCCAAGCCCAGAGAAAAGCAAGGTATAGGAGATTGTGGCCCTGGGCAGAAAGCCCATCTACAGATAAGAAAACAGACTTAGAGAGGCAGCAGAACTTACAAAGTCTTTCAAGTTTACATTTCCTGTTTTTTCTCTTGCACTCAAAACCAGCTGCATAATTAACAGGGCCCAGTGTAAGAATGAAATGCAGTAGTCCTGTTCAAGGAGCCAGGGGGAAAAATGGCCAACGTGCTAAAAATACAAACTTTTCCTTTTTCCTGAGGACTGTCTCAATCTGTCGTGGTGTTTTTATTTGCTACTTAATGCTGTGCTCTTTTGCTCACAGGGACACTCTAAACGAGCTGAGTGTTGACCTCACAGGCCTGGGGCCCCCTCTCCCCAGGTGAGCGCATATGCACATGAGGCTCACCAGCTCCCACCATCCCCCCTTCGCCAACCACTAGACCCTCACACCAAGGGCCAGAAATTTGAGTGATGTATCTACCCACCCTACAGGCCTGCCTCCCAATCCATGGTAGGCAAGGATACCGCAACCTCCAGGCCCAAACTCACCAGACTCCTGAGTAGGGTATGCAAGAGACTTGATTCCTGAGTCACCCTGGGGATATACCATGACACTGCCAGTCTGGTCATGGATGGCTGCCCCATGCTGAGCCACGGTGGAACAGGAGCACCTGACCCCATCCTGCCTACACCGTTAGAGGGCAACAGAGCTACCGACCTACAGAGGAAAGCCAGTTGGGGCCAAGGAACCAGAGATTAAGTAAGCCACACACGCAGCCAAGACCACAAGGCAGTAGAAGGCAGAACCATGCCAAACTCAAGGCTCCAGCACCCGTCCCATTGCAGTTCACTTGCAAAACTGACTGGGGAAGATCAAACAACTCAGAATTCAGAACCGCAAAGCCCAAACACGGGGTCCTTTGGAGCACTGGTCATGAGCCCTGACTACAAACCCTGCTGGCATTTCTTGGGCACCTGAATGGTTGGGCCTAGTGGAGGAAGGAGTCCTGGTGAGGGTGCGGCCGGGTCTGATTCATCACTTCTGTGTTCTCATGCCAGGCCCACAGAGCTCCATACCTACACAGTTTATAAGCCACTGATCCCATTCAATATTTTCATTACCACAGAGCAAACATGACTTGGAGCCGGGGCAGGATTTCCACGGGCAAGAATGCCTGCTGTGGGGGCAGAGTGAGGGCACAGAGCCAGCTGGGCTTCTGTAGACACAGGGGTGAGAAGCGGGGTGGGGAGGGAGGTGGGTGGCTTTGAAGTGCCACGCACAGAACCTGACTGGGCAGGAAGAAGGGAGTGTCAGGAAAGGAGGTCGGAGCAAGCTCTGGGCTTCCTCATAGCCAGCCCAGAGTACAGCGAGATTGGGGTAAATCATGAAGCCTTACCTGGGTGCACATGTGCTTTCTGGCCTACCCAGTGCTCTCTCACATGTGAACTTGTTTAGGTTTACATCTGTGCAAAGAAGACCCCACTCACAAGTAAGAAAACCGAGCCTCAGAGGGACAAAGCCACCAAGTCGATATTGAGAGCTGGTCCCTCTGACACCCCGGTTCTGGTGAGGACTTTTCCCACAGCCTCACCCCGCTGCTTTTGGTGTTCCTAGGCAGGGGCTCCTGGAAGAGCCTGATGTGTGGAGGCAGAAGAGGCTGTTAGAAGACAGGGGCTGAGCTGTAGGAGAGGGGTGTGGAGCAGGGGCTGTTTGCAAAGCATACTGAGGAGAAGCATCCACAGGCCAGGACCAAATGCCCTGTGTTTTGCTTAGGCTTTGTCTCCTCCACAGCAAAGCCTGAGTGAGACATCCCCAGGGTCCTGGGGTGGGGGGCTGATGAGGCCATCCATTTGGGCAAGAATGAGCCTGATATTTGACTACATATATGTGGGGCCCAGACAACATAAAGGTGGTCCTGCTGCTCAGCCCAGGCCAGCTCCATCTTCCCCAGAAGCTGCCACTATCAAGAGGAGGAATTGGTAGTGAACCCCTGGCTTCCTGATTAGCAGGATCCCAGGATGACAGCAATTAACTAAATGTACAGCTGGCTAAGCTGCTGCCTAAATGAGACCCCACTTGTCTTAGAGCTTTCCAGGGCCCTTGGGCCCCAAAGATTCACCTCAGCTGGAGCTGGCTTCACACACAAAGCTGCAAGCAGCTTTGCACGCAGGACAGCTACACAGAGAGGCCTTTGGCAGCCATCTCAAGAATTGTGCTGGTCCTTGCACTCACACAGCCCTGGGAGTCTTGGGCGAACCTGCTAAGGCTTCCTGAGTGATCTTCTACTTCTTCGGACTCCCGCTTCTAGCAAACTGTGGGCTCCCCTGAGCAAGGGAAGCAGAAGGTATAGCCACCAACAGGATCACTTTCAACAAACCCAGAAATGGGAAGGTCTTCATCCAAGGCAAGAATTGAGTAGCTGCCGAGGGAGGAATTCTAGGGACTGGGCCCTGGGTAAGAAGGAATTGGGAATCCTCCTCCCTCTACCAGGGAGCATCTGGGGAGTTCACTGGAGCAGCCCCAGGGACAGCAGAGACCAGTATTTGTCCTGCGCTGCCCCTACCTGCCCCTTGGGAGCAGGCCTCAGCACAGCCAGTACCTCAGCTCAAGAAGCCTGGCTGGGAAAAGAAAGACTCATATGCTCTCTCCTGCTCAGATGTCTCTGAATGCTGAGTCTCTGCTTAGCTGCAAGTCAAAATTCAAGTTCATGACCTCTCACTCAGCCTATGACAACTATAGTTATTCCTTGGCTCTTCATTTTATTCTCCCAGCTGCTTCTGAAAAATCTTTCTAAAAAGTGGCTCATTACAGCCCCGCTTAACCCAGTCTATGGAGCCTCAGGATCACTCTCAAGATGGCTCCAACTCCTCAAGCTGGCATCCAAGGCCCTCAGCTTCAGCTTTTCTGTCCTTGACTCTTCACTGGGATCTTCCCATCCCTTCTCACCCACCCCCCACCCCCACAACACCTCATATCCCAGCTTTGGTCCAGACAAACCCCATGTGGCCCCGCAAACCTTCCCACTTCTCATGCCCCCCTCCACACTTCTTTGTACCTGCTGCTCCCTC